AAAAGATAAATGCTTGTTTATGAGTAAACAGTAACCTTGATTTGAGGTGTTTCATGTGTAGCATGATTTTCAAGCTTATGAAATTAAAACTGAACTTTGATTACTTTCAGTTCAAGTTGTGTCTGCACAGAAGTACACATTACCTCTTCTTTTGAATATTTTGAATACTATGCTTGAATGTTTGTACAGTTCCAAAATAACAGAGTATAACTTTCTCCTTTTAGCTATGTCAGTTTGATGATCACCCTAATGGAGAAAAATTCTTCTTATCTCCTCGTTACGGTTTCATATGATCCAAACAAACACAAGGGTGAGAACTTGGCACTGTTCATGTTTTGATTTTGCATGCTATAATACAAATTGCATATAGACGCGGTAGATATGTTAGTATCTTCCCCAGGTATTTTATCAGCATAGCTTTGTCAGCTGATCACACCAATACAACTGTGTGTTAAAAATTTTAGATGTTGACCAAGCTTGAGACAAAATTTGCTTTCTCTCTAACATTCAGACATGCTAAGGGTAAGTGGAGGACAGACTGGTATATTAACAATGAAATGAAACTGGAAACATGGCTGTGATAATGAAGCTGGAAGAGCAAATGCTTAGAGTAACATCCTGTCTGGCCTAGGGAGCTTGAAGCAATCCCAAGAACATTGGCTGCGCTCTATTTACCCAGTACTTGCAACCCAACATTTTGCCAATCCTGTGCCTCTCTCCCAGCCACTGCCATGGTCTGAATATGCTTGGAAGAGGTGAAATTCTGTAAAATCATAAAATATTTTTTCCTTTTATAACTTCTATTACATACCAAAGTCTGAGGTATTTTAAAAGTTTTGGGGTTTTTTTTAATTATTAACTCTCAAAAAAAAAAAAAAAGATTTCTTGCTGCTTTTAGGCTCTTCAGTATAATTATCCCTGAAAAAAATATGTCTTGTTATCATAAGCAACAATAGTCTAATTCATTGCTCTCCCTCTCACATTATTTAGCTTTTAGCTTTAATTATGCCATTGTAGTATAAAGAGATTGTAGGCCGGATTTACACAGCGCACTGAGAGTGGTTGTGTCCATGGCAAGTTTATGACTTCTGACAACATGGCTACCCTGACTGCAGCCTGGAGATGATGCAGCAGCATCACCTGAAGCTGTCTGGTGGCCCAACCAGGTGCCACGAGTTCTTGGACATGGTGTTTTCTGGTACCTGCAGATGGTGCTACACAGTGGGGCCCGATTATGGGCCAGGTCCTGTGAGTGATGGGGCTGGCTCTCCTGCTGCAGTGTAGACGTTTGTTTCCTTCGCGTGTCTTCTCTCTGATTAGCTTCACCTGTTTTCTTTCAGGCCCACCATTTTATGTTCCTGAATCTGAAATTAAAAGCTTGTTTGGTAAGTGATACTTCATCTAACCCTTAGGAATTTTTCCCAAAACAAATAAACATGTTTATATGCTTCTACCTTGCCCTGTGACAAGTGATAGAGAGCCATATGCTTCTTATCCAAGGGGTGGAGTCATGGAAAAATACTGGGGAAAACAAATACCATTTAGCCACAGGAATTTTGCTATCAAGGAAAATGCTCAGCTCTTCAAAAGATATGTAGAAAACCCAAGAGGCAGATACTACTGTCTCTTTCCTCCCCTTGGCATCTTTTCATTCTCCCAGGATTCATACTGCGTTCAGTGATCTCGGAGCTGCTGTCAGGCCCATTTGATGCTTTTGTTTTTGCACCTCATCACCAGCTACTCTGGTTTTAATACAAGGCTTACCAATTCTGCAATATCTGCTATACTTTTGTAGCCAAAGAAGAAAAGTAACTTGCCATGCAAAGAAAATGCTAAATGTACACCTCAAATCCCTCAGAATAATGAAACACAGAATTGTGGCAGGAATTTTATTTTAAAAGTTCCTCCTGATATGCTTTGATATTGCACTTCTTTTAAATTTACAGCTTTCTGAGACCCCTGCAGTGTGTGCAGTGAGTCACTGTCATGGACAGTTGCATCCCAGTGCAAGACTCCTAAGTTTTCCCCAGTGTATTTGCACCACTGTATTAGGGACTATGAGGAAATCTGTGGATAGGATTTTTTTTTTTCCTGATGGTTCGCATTTTTCAGTGACTAATTGTTCAGTAATTTGTTACTCTTTCCTCCTTTTCAGGCAACCACTGTGAAATTAAGTGTCTTCAAAAAGTTGATGACTTCTCAGACAGACACAGACAATGGGGACTAGATTATTTTCTGGAGGTGCTGTATGTACTCAAGTTTGTAGCTTGATTAAAATTAATTAAAACAACTTGCTTACCATCTTGCCTTTATTTTTATCTCACTTTTTAAAATGAGACATGTTTTGGTGCACTCTTAAAGCAGGCTTCAGTGTACAGAAAAATGCCTGTGGAACATTTTTCTCCATTTTGCTTATCAAGTCAGCTCTCCTACATAGCTGCTTTCACTGTCTTGAGATGCACGTAGCTTTTCTTAAACTTCATGCACAAATACGCATTCTAAAAATGTGTATTTTTTTCTTCCATATCAATTCAAATCATCAGAGCTGGGAAAAAGAAATGCTTCCGTTTCTTTTTGGACGTTGCCAGTTGATGTTGTCTGCCCAGTGCTCCGCAGGATGGCCTCGTCAGCTGGCCACCCTGGGAGCAATGGCAGCTGCTGTTCAAATACTGTTTCCCACGACGGTGGCCTTGCGCCAGGCCAGGCAGCTGGGTGAGAGAGGCGGGAAGCTGGCGCAAGTTTCTTCTCCCTATCCCTGTTAGTCGTGATTACAAGTCAGATGAGCTGGCAGTGAGTGGGCAACAATGCTCAGTGGCAGCTGCCAAGGGGGACCTGTCATCGAGCAGGAAAGGGAGGAGGGAAGCAAACTGGTTGACAATAAAGGAGAGAGCACAGGGACAAAATATCCCTGAGGTTTCTCTTGTCTGTGCTGCTTGCTCCCTCAAGAGTGCAGCTATGAGCAGAAAAAACAGCACAGGGCTTGTAGGGTGAGAGGCTTCAAAGAAAGCCGCCAGAGCTGTTGCCTGTTCAGCCAAACAGAAACCTTCCATTGTGGGTCTTCTATCACTTCTGTATGGATACTACTGCAATTTTAAATCACAAAGTTCAGGGCTCTCAAAACCCTTTCTGGCCCTGGCCTTCTCCCTTTTTGTTCTGCTGATTAAGGATACCAATTAGACACCAGAGTGAAAAGAGTAAGCGTATTTTACTGGTGATAACCAAATAATGTTATACAGAAGACATGCAGTAAGAACAGGCAGAATAATGTACCTAAAGCAACAAACGGGAAAATACATTACTACATGAGACAGAGAATAGTGATTAAGATCCATCACCACTTGCCTATGTTACCAACATCCAGACCCGCAGCGTCTGGGCAGCCCCGGTTACAGCGAGGGTTTGCAGAGCCTGTCCCGGCAAGTGGGAAATCCTGCATGGTGTGTCCACCTCTAGGTGAGGCACCCAAAGTCGCTGCAAACGGGCCCGGCCTTATATAGCAGAGATCGACAGGCCAGAATGGCTGGCACCTTTGTTTTGAGCGGAAAATTTCTGGTTTCATTCTCTTGTTGGATTCCACCCAAAGCCTGGCTCAGCGGGGGAAACCAAGGGAGTTTCTAACAAGGTCAGATACTTGGGTTCTCAGCCTTCAATAAGGCTGAGAAAGGAAAGTTGAATACATTTTCTCCTCACTACTGATTATATTTTGTCTAAGCTTCATCTTTCACTAGTGAGTTTACATATTTTATTAATGGCTACATGCTAAGTTAGCACCTTCACCTTGGGGCCTCTTGTTCAGGCTGCAATATTTCAGTGCTTTAGCACTTTTTACATCAGCATAGGTGGGTTGTTATAACTTAGTACAATACCTAGTAGCTCAATGGTTATCAGTTACAAAATATATAGGATTCATCTATAGGTCAATTCTGGCTTGGGGCCTGTTGTCCAAGCCTTAGCACTTCACCTTTGCAGCTGATTTTAAAAAACGCTGGAAAGGTACAACTGTGATGTGGTCTATTACAATTCACCAAGACCAGAAGGTGAGTAAAAGCCATGGGGCCTCTTAGAGTGTTGTAGTCCTAGAGCTGTGATGATGATTTTGAGCACAGCAGTCCCCGAGCTACAGCCCGTTGCAACTCTCGGTATTGCTTGTAGCTACTGGCACTTTAAGCCTGGACTGACAGAGAGAAGAAAGGATGCAGCCAGTGGGCCAGGGAACGCTGGGAGCTGCTATTTTCATATATTTTCACTTCTGGCCAGTACTGCGGCTACCAGGTCAAAGCATCTCCTTCCTCTCAATCCAGAAGTTTTTTTCAGGTGCAGCATGGGAGCAGTGTAAGTTTATCTGAGGCTTGCAGATAACGCAGCAGCCGTGACAGGCCAGGCGCTCGATGGCTCTGCCGTGCGTGTACCGTCCGGTTACTCTGAGGATACGCTGTAAATGCGCCTTGCAGGACGAGCGTGTGCTGTCCGTGCACCTTCCAAGATGCGCGCACTTACCTGTTTGAGAAAAGCGGCTGCTAGCGATGAGTGTAAATATTTTAATTGCATTTTCAAAAGCTTCCCAGGACAGCAAGAGAAATCCGATGAAACTGCGACCGCATCCTTAGCCCGATACGGGCATCGATAGCACTAGCGGCGGTGCGATAACTTGGTAGAGGCGTGTCTGCACCGACCGGGGGAGGATTTACCGGAGAGGGCGGCCCGGGGGCGGCTGCTGAGCGGTCCATCGTCCCCAGGGAGTGCTGGTAGCTGTGAAAAAAAAAAAAAGAGGAAAACTGAAAAATTACCCCCACGCAATGAACAGTTCGGAACAGGCTCTTACTTCCTAGAATCAAATACAGATTTAGAACAGCTTAAGAGATGATTATGACTTGGCGACTCTTTAAACGTCTGGAACGTGACCGAGCACACTCTTGCTCCCGGTGGCTTCGGCGACACTTTTTTT